AAATCAAGAGATCTACTTAACTAAACACCAACTCACTAGACCCTGATCCTGCAAATGCCTCCACTGTACCACCAACACCAGGTGGGGATATTGATCAGACTGTTAGTGGGATAGGCAGCCAAGAGAGAAGGGAGGGGAGAGCACATGCCTGATAATGAAGGGCTGAGCCCTTCATCCTGCACAGACTCTTCACCTGTCATTGGACAGACAGCAGAAGCTAGGTACTGATTCACCCTGTGCTCTCCCCTCAGTAATTTACATCTCTTTCTTTCCAGGCTTTTGGGGTATCTGACCCCTTTCGCTGCCCTACCCTCCCTTCCTGTAAATCATGATAGGAACTGTGTTTTTAGGATGCTGCAGGTCTGACTGCTTGCCTATTTGGGGATCAGGAAGGAATTTTTCCTCCTGGGTCAAAATTGGCAGAGGTTGGTGATTTTTTGTGTGTGCCCTCCTCAGTGTCCTAGAGGCACAGTTGGGTTCTGCAAAGAGAAGCTGTTGAAAATGTAGTATTTTGGAATTTTAGTTCGTTGCAACTTGCAACCAGTATCCAGTTTGGGAAAAGGCTTACCGGGCTTTTAACCCCTACTACAATCTAACCCCTGGGAAGTGAGAGGGCATGAGGAGTTGAGCCCTACGGGTAGGATGAGGAGGGTTGATTCCAAGTTATGAGTTATATGGTGTAAGCTCTGTAACCACCCACTGCCATGAATGAAATGCCTGGTATGTTAAATATGGGGGGGGAATATATTAAGTTAACTGCTGAAATCCATCCACATGTCTTTCTTCATTCATCTGTGTATCCTGATCACTGATGCACTTGCTTAACTTTATGCATATCAGTACTCTTATTGAAATCAATGTCGTTACTCCTGGTAGTAAAGTTAAGCACGGTGTGTGAATAGATTGGGGCCTCCGCTGGTTGCAGGATGTTGGGCCTCACTAAATTATTAAAACTGAAGGTTTTTAAAATTGAACTTATCACCGGTTAGAATATTTACTTTCCTTTTCACTGTGCGTGAGCAAATCAGAGTAGACAGCTTTGCTTTTGGTTTTAGTTAGCTAATTTTTAAAAAAAAATTCTTGCACCTATGGGGGAAATGTTGAAACTATGATCTCTTCTCTACCCAAATCCTGAAAAGAAAAAAAATCTTTGCATTGATAATTTTTTTAAATTAACATTTCTGTTTCTCCTCCTTGGGTTTTGTTTCCATCTCCCCACCCCAAACACACACACAGTTTACTGTATTTAACAAAACCTAAATTGGTAACTAAACTAAATTAAGTCTCCTTTTTCAGTTTTCTACTGCAATTCATTTTATCTCATGGTTATTTTGTCCGAGGGCGAGCATCAAAAGAGAAACTGCATGGATAAACGAAGTGTCCTATACAAGGGACAAACAATAGCATCATTTAATGAATCAGGATCTTCAGTATGGCTTTATTTAGAGAACTACTCAGAAGTCTGCTAGACATATTGTAGCTAGGAGTCTGTATTGGCTGTTGTGGAGGGGGATGGGATAGGATAGGGTCTGCACAAAGGCAGATTGTTCTATTGTAAGTTAAGGTTTTTTCTTTTCACAGGAATCTCTGTAAATAATGGGATAATTTTAAGGTGGAGAAGAGGGTAAAGGCTCGGTACATAAAGGCAAGGATGACAACACGACAGTCTGAGAATAGGTAGGGCTGTTCTGTTAACTAGGTAACTCTCACACAGTCGTCTGAATGCTGATGGACTCTGATAACAATAAGGAGGCCTGTAAACTTTCAGTCAGTGTCTTGCATTTGATATGACTTTAAGGTTTTAACAGTGGTGTAAGCTTCACAGGCATGTAGAAGATGCCATTTTAGAGTACCTGGGCCTGATTCTCCATTGCAATCAAAGTAAGTATAAAACACTACCGTTATCAGACTTATAGCATGTCTCACCCACTCTGGTTTAGGTAGAAATAGTGGTATGAAGTATTAGAGAACACAACTCGCTTATTGTTAAGGGAAAGCATATTGGTAGCTAATTTGCATGCATGGCCACCCTTTAGTAAAGTGTGTGTTTTGTCTCCATGGCCCCAATTCTGCAAAGAGAAGCACACAGGCTGCTGAAGTCGATGGGGCTCTATGAAGGCACAGAGGTGTGCCCACATGTTTCTCCTTGCAGAAACAGGGCTAAAAGGTGGATCTCATATTTAACCCTCCTATTTCTAGGCTTTGGGCATTTGAATGAAATAGGGCTTGTGTTTAAAATGGCTCTGCTGGAAAAAAAATGGCTAGAGATAGGTTGAAATCTTTTATCCAAAGACCCTAAATGTAAGTGATTTGAATAAAACAGAACCCACATCCAAAGCACCCCTCCTTTGGGTTTGGAAAACTGAAATCTAATTAAGTTTTGCAAATGCAATATTAAGAACAAAACCTGGTACCCTTGGCCTCTCTCTACTGTTTTTCCAACCTTCAGTAATGGCAAAATGAAAATGATCTTTGACACTTTTTGGGGGTGATCCAGTGAAGAAAGTTACTGAAAACCCTCTCCCAGCTGTACTAGCTAGCAAACACTACTATATATTCTAACATCAGATAGCTATAAACGTTTGGGAGGGGAGAGATATGAGGGCACAGCTTTATGTTTGAATGAGAAGCATTTTCCTGGCTGAACATTTTGATGGGACCCAGTGGGGGAATGGTAACATTTTGTTAAAAAGTAAAATAAAACAGTGACTATTCTCTCCCCCCCCCCCATAAAAGGCAGATAATTGGCATTTATAATGACCTTACCAGTTTTTAAAACTGCTGGGAAATAGGGGTACAGAGGCTTGCAAGACAAAATGACCTCCTTATTTAAGAAAGGATCAAATATACCTGGCATCAGGCCAATGGGGCTTTTTACAATTTTCTATTGAACATCTTCGGACTATTGTACAAGTAGAAAAATACAGATCCTGGAGTATAATACAATCTTCACACCCACTGTGCTTTTGATTTTAAATAAAGTGCATCAGGATGCTCCATTTGGCTTTTTCTTCCCCCCCTCCCATCTTGGTCTTCACCACCCCACTTGCTTTCTTGCCTTGAACTGTTTGGAGGCTTAAGGGGTCTGCCCAGTCAGTCATTACCAGACAGGAACAGCTGGTGCTTGTGGGAAATGTGGGAGGGGCTTATGAGGAGTTCTAAAAGGTCTGTGCGTTCATGCTAGACACATTTCAACCAGCCTAACAGGAAGAAGCCTGACCAAGAGCTCATTACTCATGCCTTTAGCTATGCAAATAACTGATTGTTTTGGTTCACTGGCAATTCCAGAAGTATGGGGGGGAATTGTTTCAGGCTGACCTGAATTTTTTTTTTTAATTTTTGGCAAATCAAAAAGTTGAAACAGTTTATTTTGGGTTGAGTTAAATGTTTTATTCAACCTGATATGAAATGCTTTGTTTCCATTTTGAGCATTTTATATTTAGCAAAAAATATTAAATAAAATTGAAGTAAACTTTGAAACAAGTAATTTTGAACTGAAAAACTAAACTGGTTTTAATAATGCTGTAAACAAAGTTTTTTGACTTTCTGGGAAAAAAAAAAAACCAAGACTACCTAATCATTTTGGAAAAATTGGCTCAAATTCACAAAACATTTCTGTGTTGCTGAATTTGCATTTTTTTTTGCCACATAAAAGGGGAGGGGGGAAGAAGTTTGGCAGAAAAACCTTGTTCAGCTCCACTTAATGATGTTTGATTACAACTAATGTGCAGGCTTCTGTGGCTAGGTCCAATTCACCACTGCCTGGCACCATGTGTGGTTAATTAGCACCATTGCAAAGTGGGTGTAAAATGCTGCCATCCTGTTACGGAAAGATGCATTTTACACCCATTTTGCAATAGTATAAATGACTGCACAAGATGCAGGGCAGCAGTCTTTTGCCCATATTTCTTCCTTCCCTATGCAAGATCTTATTGGGAATTATTGTCTTACAGGTACTAAGGAAGTGAAAAAAGAGGAATCTCTCTCTCATAGATAGAAAGTACCGTCCTTTATTTTATTTTATTTATTTTTCCTCCCTCTTCCACAGAGAGTTGGAGGCATCAGTGAATCCACAGTTGTGGATATTATCCATGCAGTTAATGGTTAGTGTCCTTTTGCATCAGAGTAAAATCATTTTTTGGGGGGGATACAGATTGAAAAAAATCACAAACTAATGCATCAAAGAAGACAAAAATGATTGTAATGCTTATGAACTCTATATGATGACTTTTAAAGTCCCTGGAAAAAGTAGTGAAATTGTTTGATTGGTCTGTTAATTATTGGACTGGGCCCAGTATCAAATATTTGTAGAAGATAAGACTTCTCTCTGTGGAGATGAATAATAACCAGACTTACTTTCCCTTAACAATTTGGCGCATAATACGTTCTTGGTTTTCCACTCTTTGCTTACAAATCAATCTAAAATCATGTTGAACCTGTTTATCCGGTTTATAAAAGCCTGTGGACAAAATAGTCACTTAAAAATAAGACTCTTGCAAGAGATTCCATAACATTCCCCTATCTAAAAAGTGCAAATGCTATTTTATTAATAAAGAAATCAGAGTGCCTCTCCCTCACCCCTGCAGCTCCAGGGTATAGAAGTAAAGATGACTTTTTTCCACCTGAATGCATTGTGAGCAGTGTGTGTATGCTGCATGTGACCAGGAAGTCTATTTGCCTACAAACTACTGTTTTATATGCAGTCAGAAAATGACTGTTAAGAAACAAAATCATGCAAACACGCACACGCTAACACCCCCCCCCCCAAATCGCCTCTCCCCTCCCCCACCCTCAAGTTAAAAAAACAAACAAACAACAAACCCATACACCACCATCCAACTTCATCTGTAGTCCTGCTGGTATTAAGAGTAAACAGTATGTGGTCATTGATCTCCTGTTGGTGGTGTTGCACTCTGGGAAATGCTGGGAATGCCTGGAGACATGGCTGCAGTCAATTGATGAGCTTTTGAAGAAAAATGACAGAAATAAGAAAGAGAGCATTCAAATCCAGGAGAGAGAGTGAGAGATTGTGGATCAAAGCTTTTATTCCTCCCCCGACGAATAACCCATATCTCGTTCTGTGTAGTTTTAGGGAGAGGTAATAGTGAGTGGATCTCCCCCGTTCTTCCTTATTGTGTGTGATTGATTGAGATTGCTGTGTGGCCAAAAAACCAAAAACAAAACCACCCCCGCAGCTGTTTTAAGTAAATGAAAGTAAGATCGGCAGAGAGCGCTGGACCCAGCTAGTGGGCAAGCCTGTGTTAGAGTCTCAGCCCGTGTATGCTCGGTGCTTTACCTAAGGGCTGTCGGATGATGATGTAACTTTGTGTAGGACTTCTCCGAGTACCGGTGGAAAGCAGAGGGGCGTCTTTTCCCCCCGCCGTGCGGGAAAGCAGGAACTAAGCGATTAGCACGGACGGTGGGTGAGGATGACTCGGATGAGGGCTGTTTGTTTCAAACCCGCCACATTTTATAGAGTGTGTGACTGTGTTTCGGCTCCGATCCCCCGTCGCCTGTGCCTCTTGCACTGATTTCTCCTCCGCTTTGGAGAGTGGGGAAGGGAAGGGAACAATAAAAACACCCCAAACTACTTTCCTTTCCCTTTTTGTGAAATTAGCAGCTTCTAAAAATAGGGGATCTGTCCAGACAAGGCGCTTGAGGATTAAGAGAGGAAGCTAAAGGAAGAGACTCAAGAGGCTGGCTGCAGTGGCTTTTTCAGACTCTCTCTCTGTGTGTGTGTTGTGCGTTTGCACCGGTCTGTCAGTTGCATGCATTACAAGAGGTTCCTTTGGACACACAAACACAGGCACCCACACGATAACTCTCGGATGTTTATTCTTAGCAAATAGAGAGAGTGGAGCGGACTCTCCTGGAAGGGGACCAGGTAATCATTTCCCAGGCATCAGCAATCATTTCTGCATTGGGAAGAAGTTAACAAGGGGTGGGGGGATAATCACCCCTCCCCGTTTGCATATTTATAGTGTTCCTTTAAGTGGGGGACGGATTTGTTTTAATCCTTGCACGGTGTCAATAATCAGCATGTTATTTACAATCTAGACACTCAGCTGCAGCAGCAGAGACGAAAGCAAATTCCACTCTCTGTGTATTTGGCTGGACTGGGAGCGTTGGGGGGGGGGCTCTTCAGGAAAGAGGTCAGGGTTTGTTTAGGAAAGATCAGAAGACAGCTGAAGTGAGAGAGGGACTCGCCACTTATTTTCCCCCACCCTTTCTCGCCCCTCCGGTTTTCCAGGGTGTCTGAGGTGGCTGGAGATTGCACAGAAAGCTTCTCCTCCCCCACTGTTGCCAGTCTCTCTCTCGCTCTCTTTTCCTTTTGTTATTTGCACTCGCATTGTGTTGTTTGTCTCTGAAGCCGCCTCATGACCAGCAAAGGGATTTCACCTCGTCCTTGAGAGAGAGACACAGAGAGAGCGCAAAGGGAAGAGATCAACTCCATATCCATCTCCGGTGCCCTCCCCTCTCCCCCCCCAACCCTGTATCACTTAGCATCCCACGCCAAGAGGAGACATTAAAGAGACCGGGTAGGTGCTCTCACAGAGCCGTTTTAACTTGGCTTGTTGCGGATAGTGGGAGGGGGGCAGATGTCCAGAGCAGCAGAGCTTTGCCTCAGGGGCTTGCTCTCCACTCAGCACTTGGTTTTCAGCTTCAGCTGGAGGGGCGAGGAGGGGGAATGTGATTCAATGCTGAATGGGGAGGGGGCAAAGGCGCTGGGGCTTAGAAGAAAGGGGCAAGTTTGGCTTAAGGAAGGGGGGCAGCTGCCTTTGGGGAGGGTGTGAAACTAAACGGGCAAACTCCCCCCCCCACTCCCTCAGTGAAAGGGGGTGAGTGGTGGGGTGTTTGAGGACGATCCGTCAGCACTGGTGGGATGTTTCCAGGGTCTTGCACACCTCCTAAAGTTCAGTGCAACTTGTCACGCCTTCCACCCCCCCTTCATTGATTGCATGGGGCTGCGGGGCCGGGTGGGGTTGTAGGGATGGGAACTCTCCTGGAGTGGCAAGAACATTGCTCATCCCACAGGATTCCGGAGGATCTCGCAGCAGACAGGAAGCTTTAAATTATTTTAATTGCCTCCTACTTTTTGTGTGTGTGTGAGTGTGAAGTGAAAACTGCAGCCCCGCTTTTAAGGGCTTGTGCCCTGAGAACTCCCCCTTGCACTGGGCTCAAACAACAGGAAGCAGGGAGAGTTAAACTCGTATTGGGTCTGGAAATGTTTGACTACGCTAGCTGCAGTTTGCAGAGTATCGATCCGCTGGGAGCAAGGCACATTCGCGTGGGGAGAGCAGCCTAAAGAGACTGGTTACATATTTCAGTAAGCATGTTCCTTACAGTTTGCAAACCTCATTGCTCCTTAAGAAATAGACTGACTCTGGTAAATGGATTAAATGTTCTTGGGTCAGTCATTTCAGCTTCTTTCCTACCAAAAAGAAAACCGATCAAAGAAAAACATGGTCTGTCAGTCAATGTACGCATATTGTTCTAATATTCCCCTTCCTCCAAATCTGGAGGTGGGAGTGAACTCTGCCAACTTTTTACAGAAATTTAAGGGACTTTATTTTAACCCAACTGTGATCCTAGAATAACTAGAGCAGTTTATCAAGAAGAACATGATCATTGTTCCCTGGGGACTGCATTCAGTCTCAACACTGTAGTGTGATCAAGGGCAGAACCAATAGAAATCGGTGGGATTTTGGGTAATAAGTGTGGGAATCTCCAAACGGACTGGGTCTGAGTGATTTGTTTCTCTTCTGCTCATAAATAATGACCTCAGGCATTTAAAAAAAAAAACAGCAGGCCAGTGAAATAGACACGCAGAAGATTTGTAGGCGTTCAACATTTCAGTTAAAAAAAAAAAGAGTTGTTCAGCAGGATTATAGGAGGGACGTCTGTGAACTAGTGTTCTTAAAGAGAGAGTATCAGAGGGGTAGCCGTGTTAGTCTGAATGAGGGTCCTGTGGCACCTTTAAACTAACAGAAGTATAGGGAGCATAAGCTTTCGTGGGTAAGAACCTCACTTCCAGATGTGAGGTTCTTACCCACGAAAGCTTATGCTCCCTATACTTCTGTTAGTCTTAAAGGTGCCACAGGACTCTCTGTTGCTTTTTAAAGAGAGACTGATCCCAAGTGTGTGTGTGTGTGTGCTGTTTATTAACTCTTGAGAAATTGAAGTTAGAATTGTCCTAAAATTAGGGAAAAAGTTTTTCATAAAGATGTATTTTGCTCTCTTTCAAAGAATTGAGCTTTAAGCTTGATTTCAGATAAAATAAAGGTATTGCATGCCAATTGTAGACCTTTGGAAGAAAGTTTCTTGGGTGTTTTTTCCTGATTTATCTATAACTTGCAGTAAGCAGCCTAGCTAAAATCAACTGCTAAGATTTAAATCAAATTCTTGTATACCAGGGATGTTTCTTAGTCTTTTGTTCAAAGTTCCTCTGTAAATTGTTGGTATTTTCTCTCCAGAAACCTACCTCATAAAGATCAGAGTACTATATCTGTTTTTTTTTAAATAGCCCCTAGTCCTTCCCAGTGGTAGAAAATTAATCTTTGTCTAAAAAGTAGATCCATTGTGTAAAATATGCAGTTTACAAATACTTAAATGGGACTGTAGGGGAGAGGTGAATGTGTTGTTTAGATATAGTAATATCCAAATGTTTGTCTTATAGAACTCTTCTGCTCTTAAAGAGAGAGGCTGACATGAATTTGTTGCATTTTGTGAATGCATAGTATGTATATGTCATGTCTTCATATTTTGAACATGAAAACCTGATAAACACGTGGCCATTATGCATGGAAGCCTTGCACCAGAGCTTTTTGTTGAACTTAAACTGTTTTGGTAGAGTGTTATACTATATGGAATATAAGACTTTAAAGCCACAATCATCTTTTGTAAGGAAATTAGCATTTGAGAGAGGTATTCACTATTTCAAGTTAACTCAGTTCAATTGTGCGTGCGTATAGCTGGTTTAGTCTAATATGAAGTTTTGTAAATGATGGAAGTGAGTATATGCTTTTGGAAAGGAAACTATAAACATATACATGTCCCCTATATACATTTGAGTTCATGTTAGGGAAACATGAATCTTATAGTGTCATGATCTTCTAGTGGTGGAGTAAGAGTTTTAGGTAGCTTAACATTTTTTCAGTCAAATAATTCTTCAGACAGTTTACTAATAAATGCTGAAATGGGAAGGGATATTTCTGAGCTCTGTACATTGAGAAACTATGCTAGTGTCCAATATACATACATATATGTATGTATTACTACATCTTTCTATTTTATTTTACTTGCCAGCCTCATTGAGGCTACATCTTCACTACGGGGGGGGGGGGTGTCGATTTAATATACGCAAATTCAGCTATGCGAATAGCGTAGCTGAATTCGACGTATCGCAGCCGACTTACCCCGCTGTAGGGACGGTGGCAAAATCGACCTCTGTGGCTTCCCGTCGACGGTGCTTACTCACACCTCCGCTGGTGGAGTAAGAGCGTCGATTCGGGGATCGATTGTCGCGTCCCAACGGGCCGCGATAAATCGATCCCCGAGAGGTCGATTTCTACCCGCCGATTCAGGCGGGTAGTGTAGACCCAGCCTTAGACTGGGCAGTAGCAATATAGTTAAGATGCCTGATGTGTTGTTCACATTGGATAGTTCCTTGACATTCAGGACTGTGGAAAAAGTAATTCTTCAGTTACGCATCCTAAAATGATAACATTATATTTCAAGTAAGTTTATAAGTAGCTTTAGCTAAATACCAGTATGTACTGCATAACAAGGAAAAGAGTAGCAATAAGTTTGATTTGATGCTAGTGATAGTATTATAATGCTGTATGTATATAGGAGCTTTGTTTCTGCCTTGTTACTCCTACCTACAATGATATAAACTTCTGTGATCTGGATTTTGAGAATGAACCAAAAAATAGAGCATTCAGTGGAACAAGTTTTCTAAAGTTTAGGAAAAATAAAACATTGCCAAAACACTGCAGTGGCGCTGTTGTAAACTGTAATGTTTTTGACCATTATAAGTAGATTGCTATTATAATAGAATTTTTCCAGTTAGCAATGAAGTATCTTTTCCTGACTTTTGCATATAAATAATCCTGTGTTCTTTGAACAGGCAAGGTGATACATCCATTGAATTCATTGAAAGCTTTGCCTGAAAAAAGACTACATAAATGGGCCCTATACCATTGGAGTGACCTTTTACAAAATGCAGGTTTTGTTTAACATACTGCAGGTTCTCCTTTTAAACCTCAGTTTAATCTCCTTTTCATCTGAGGCCCGGGCTACACTAGCAGGGGCTATACTAGACGTACCCTGAGAGTTAGTCCTATGTGGTAATGTTCAGATCTAGATTAAGTTTAGGTGAGGGATTGATTTTTGAGGTTGAACCAAAGATGATTTCAGGAAAGATGCTCTTTCTGATTGATATCCATTCAGGGACCAAAATTGTAGGATTGGGAGATTTGAGCCTGATTCCAAGCTTTCCCCTCTCTACCTGTCTGGAAATTTGGGGAGAAATGAGAGCGCTCATGAGAAGGCCCAGACCAAAACATTAGGTCTGACTATCTCTAATTAGGATATTATTCATCTACATTCATTGACATTGTGTATAGAGTTATATGGTGGAGCCTGCCCAGGGAAGACTCTGCACTCCTATACAGGCTGTCAAGGGAGCTTGGATCCTTTAAGTTTCTTACTTCAGTGATGGGCACCTTAGAAGTACATAAGATTCATTGTCATCCTTGTAGCACTTTGCCCTTTATGTCTCATGGTTCCTTTACCCTCTTTGTGTGTATGGTGTATATGTATATGGTGTTTTCTCAATATGTAAAATGCAAAGTCTGCACAAGTTCTCCTTATTGCTTACCAAAGCACACATGCTTTTATTTTTCAGTCTGCGGAAAACATATGCTTCCTGACAGTCTGAGGAGGGTGTTCTTTAATATTTCTGAGAGCTTTATCTTCAGTCTGTTTCAGTCTTTGTCTATTTTTCTTTGGATCTCAAGCATGGACCGAGGCCCATAGGTAATCCACACTGGGATCTATTAATAGTGGCCATTTTCAGAGGCACAAGGACAATTACTAATCTCCTGCTGGCTTTCCATCCACTTGGGAGGCAAGTGATTGTAAGAATGCCATTTTGCCTGGTGCATCAAATACCTAGCAAATCTTTGCTCACCTAGGTTACAGTTCCTAAACCCAGTAACAACACCAAAAATCGAACTTGAGTGGCCCTGAGCACCACCTCTTACTGTGATGAGTCACACAACCAGCAGCACTTTGTTAGTGTTAAATTTGATCCACTGGCCCTAAGCAGAGCTGACAATTTTCAGCTAAAAGACCCTTCAGTGAATTGTCCTTTAATAGAAAGTCTTCCCTCCCTCACCCCTCTGTTGTATTTTTAAATTAAATGAAATCCTTGAGAAGCTGGTGGCAGCTTGGGGTGATTAGAGTTTAAGGACCAGGATAACCATGTATATTTCAAGGAAATAAACTGTCTGAAAAATATAGGACAACACTTATT